CAGTTAAAAAGATTCTCTACTATGTTTGACTAAAAAAAAAAGACTGCAAAAGCTGAACTTCGGAGGGAAAGAAAGGGGGGGAGACAAAGAACATGGAAACTGGAAAGAGACAATAAAACTTGGAAACTGGAAACTTTCAAAATTAAAGGGGAAAGGCTTGGATTAATTTATCACACCCATAAGGGCAAAAGGCATGTAAAAATGCTGTGGCAAAAGAGCAGGCTACAGATGCATAAGAAGAAAGTGAAACTGTGTGAAAGATTAATGAATGGGTTTCTTCTGATACAGATTTAGATGGGGGGCGGAACGACCTTAAAAACCTTTGCTCTATATTAGTGATGATCAAGAAAGTGTTATTATGAGTAAATTAATGACAAAAGGTGGTGGAAAAAATAGGGATGTTAAATGGTTTAATGGTGTTCAATTATGTTTAACTATATTAGAATATTATACTTAACTGGTAATTAAATTTAATAATAATTTAATATGATTTTGAGTGACAATGTGAATCTCCAAGTTAGAGGTCAATATAAGGGTCCAAATAAATTGTTAATAAAATTAAAACATTTAAAGAGAAAGTGGTAATAATAAGGATGAAAACATGTTTAATCGTTTGAAGATATTTGATCATGTTTAACTATATTAGAACACTACAGTCAAATTGTAATTCATTTTAATAAACAGTTCAGTATGATTTGGAGGGTTAAATTTGAATTTATGTTAAGACTAGTATAAAAGAAAAATATGTAAAAATTAGTAAATTTATAATTGGTATTTGTATTAAAAATGATGAATTGGTGAAATGATTGCTGAGGTAATAGGAAAGGTTAGAATATGGATGATTAATTGTTTAAATTGTATTTAATGATGTTTGAACATTGTATCATGATGGTGTAATTAAGTTTTAGTTATTTTGGATTATAGTTTAGTAGGAGTGTGTTGGATAAAGATTAATCCTGAGACAAACAGAGGTAGGTAAAGATCTGGCAAAATATAAGTGGAAGATTTAGGTGTAAAACTCTCATGTAATGAATAGCAGAGTTAATCTTTAAGCTAAGCTTGATCTATTGGTTCCAATAGATCGACAAATCAGTGTACATGTAGCAAAGATTGAATGAAAATTTAAAAGGGTAATAAAAGGGGGGGAAGAGATTTAAAAATTGTAATATTAAACCCTGATCTTATACTGAAAACAAGGAATTGGCAGACTACTGAAAGATGTGTAATGGGTAGAACCTTGAACGGTGAAGTTGACGATGACTAAATATCTTATGCTGTTAATATGAATATGCTATTAATATGAATGAACAGTGCTATTTGGCAAAACAGAGATAGAAGTAACTACTCAGCATAGAAATGTTCTAAAGGTTGATTATAAGAACAAAATGATCATTTTGTGTCTGGTTTCTCTGTTAATCTGTGTTGCTGAAAAGATACATTGCTATCTTAGAGTTTTTTTGTATGTAGTTCTGTTGAAGTTCTTGTTTGTATGCATATGATATCATTTTGTCTCTAGTTTCTCTATTAATCTGTGTTGCTGAAAAGATAAATTGCTATCTTAGGGGTTTTTTGTATGTAGTTTCGTTGAAGTTCTTGTTTGTATGCATATGATATAGGCTTATATTATGAAAAACCCAACAAATATATTGTTAAAAAAAGAGAAAAGAAAAGGATGCTGTTAATTATTTCCATGCTTGAGAGAAGACGAATGGAAAATAACAACATGTTCTCAGTTAATTATTCTTCGCATTCCACAATTAAGGATACTTTTACACATCAGTCTCCGATTTTGACATATTTATTTGCTTTACTGTGTTTTCCCCATAATTAAATTCAAACAACTGGTGATCATATAAACTTAACTTGTTATTCCTGTTTAGTTTTTGCATTTGTGAAAACATTTCATTATGCTGTATGCTAATTTGCTGTTCACCCTCATCTTATATGAATGAACTGTTACCTTCCATTTCAATGCACCTGAGGAAGTGTGCAAAGGCTCATACCTTGCATAAAACTTTGTTGGTCTTTTAAAGGTGCCATTGGACTCAAACTTTGTGCTACTGCTGCAGATCAACACGGCTGCTCACCTGGATCTAAATTTATTCTAGCACTGTGCCAGAATTAACTGAATCAAGTTACACACCGTCAGTATAATTTGGAACATTTTGTGAACATGAACATGCTCCGATTTCAGACTTGGCAGACCACCTGTGGAGGAGGAGGAGGAGGAGATTGGATTTATACCCTACCCTTCACTACCCAAGGGAGTCTCAGAGCAGTTTACAAACTCCTTTCCCTTCCCCCTCCCCACAACAGACGCCCTGTGAGGTGGGTGGGGCTGAGAGAACTCTGACACAAACTGCTCTTTTTCAAGGACAGCTGTGCCACAGCTTGTGACTGACCCAAGGTCACATCAGCAGGTGCAAGTGGAGGAGTGGGGAATCAAACCCGGTTCTCCCAGATTAGAGTCCGCGCACTTAACCACTACACCAAGAAGAAGAGGAGGAGGAGGAGGAAGGGGGAGATTGGATTTATAATCCGCCCTTCACTCGGAGTCTCAGTGCATCTTACAAACTCTTTCAAATCCCTTCCCCTCCCCATAACAAACACCCTGCTGAGAGAGCTCTTTCCAGAACTGTCCTTGAGAAAACAGCTCTGACAGAACTATGGCTTGCCCAAGGTCATCCAGCAGCTGCAAGTGGAGGAGTGGGGAATCAAACCCGGTTCTCCCAGATTAGTGTCCGCGCACTTAACCACTACACCAAACTGCAAGGCTGGAATACAGGGAAGACAAAGAAGGCAGTGCCCGCAGGCATGTACGCATTCCACTCACCCCCCCCCCCCCCCCAGGGTCATACATACAAAACAAGCACCTGGTGTGTAAGTTATTTTTTTCTGTAAGATGTGTTGGGCAGACAGCAGACTGGACACGGGAAACTCTGGGCAAGCTACCCAGCAGCAGGGTTCCCTCTAAGCTGAGTTAGTGTGAGCTAGCTCACCGTTCTTTAGCCTCCGGCTCACACATTTTTGTCTCAGCTCAGGAAGGATGTGGCTCCAGAGCAAACTAACTTATGCAGTAGCCAAATGGCTCACTCATAACTTTAATGCCAGTAGCTCACGAAGTAGAATATTTGCTCACAAGACTCCACAGCTTAGAGGGAACATTGCCCAGCAGTGTGACATTTTCCACAGTATCAAGTTTCCCCTTGTCTGCTCTTCTATTCATTTGCATCTTTCTCTCATTTCCACAGATGATTTCTCCCTCCCCGGAGCAAAAACGCTGTTTGCCCCCTCTTGCAGCCCAGCACGGGAATTCCCGGAAACAGGGAAGTCTGATGTCGCGAACCAACTGTGTTTTTGCACCTGGGACTGTGAAAACATCTGCGGAAATGAGGGAAAGCAGCAGAGGAATACAAGTGCAGGCGCGGGGCAACTTGACACCGCGGAAAACGTCTGTATGTGCAGAAAACAAGTTGTGATCCAATTCAGAACAATTTATTTCTTTATGTATACTTTCGATTTATATTCTGCCCTCCCTGCATGAGCAGGCTCAGGGCGGCTTGCAACAAGTTAAAATAAAACAGAACGAATACAATCAAACACAGATGCATCCACAGAGCAATAATCTGAAATTCCGACAAGCAGTCAAATTTGTAAATAAAGTGCTGTTGCAGATAGCTGGCGGTAGCCTCTCCAAGGCTATGTTAGATGGTAGAGAATACACTGTGGTAGGGTTGCCAAGTCTGGGTTGGAAAATACCTGGAGACTTTGGGGGTGGAGCCAGGAGAGGGCGGGGTTTGGGGAGGGGAGGGGCCTCAGCATAGTACAATGCCATAGAGTCCACCCTTCAAAGCAGCCATTTTCTCCAGGGGAGCTGATCTCTGTCGGCTGGGGATCAGTGGTAAAAGCGGGAGATCCCCAGGCCCCACCTGGAGGCTGGCAACTCTACACTGTGGCCATACCCGTGTCTTTAACTGTTATTGTTGCTTTCAAGAGGAGGGCCTTAACTGTTCAGTTGTCATCGGTTCAGATGTTGTTCATGTGTTGGTGCCAGTGGCGGCTCCTAATCCAAGGCCTGGTGGAACAGCTCCGTTTTGCAGGCCCTGCGGAACTGTAAAAGGTCCCGCAGGGCCCTGATGTCTTCCGGGAGCTCATTCCACCAGTACGGAGCCACCACTGAAAAGGCCCTGGCTCTGGTAGAGGCCAATCTGGGGTTTTTCGGACCAGGGAGAGTCAGGCGATTTTGTGACCCTGACTTCAGTGCTCTCTGGGAAACATATGGGGAAAGGCAGTCCCTCAGGTAGGCAGACCCCCGACCATATAGGGCCCATATATTCCGGGTCCTCAGTAAAAGCAACATCTTATCAGCTATTCAGGAGTGCCGCTCAAAACTATAATTCAGCAGAGGGTTTGCGCATCCCTGAAAATGACACCTGAGAGTTCATGAGTTGGACAGGACTCAGAGTTTTGGCTTACCCTTCAGCTTGAGCATCCCTTAGACTCTTCCCTCCCTCCTTCCCTTGTTCACAGACTCACAGTCAAAGGCCATATGCATGAAATTGATTCAGCCAGCTTCCTGATAAACAGTCTCCGTGGTTCCTCCCATCAACATTGAGCAAACCCCTCCGAGCCGTGTTCTTAACGGCAGGATAGTGAAATGGGGAAAGACCAGCCCGACTGTTGGACTTGGCAGCAAAACCCAGAGGGCTGAGATCTTATGAAAGCTACACCAGGCTCTCCGTCCTAGGAGAACCCTTCGTACAAAGGCACCCATGCTTTATTTACAGCCTGTATAGATGGGCAAAGAAGGACATGATAATTGTGTAGGAGGAGCAGGTAAATACTGGCATGCCATTCATGACTCAAGCGGCAGGAAAACCACAGCTGCCTCTGGCAGGGCAGACATAGAATTAGGCAGTCCAGCCCTGATCTGCCCTCTGATTGGGCGCTTTATAAGCCGAGCTGCGGCTCTTCTATCCCTTTGACTAAATCTTCTCTGCTCTAAGCACCAGGGATGCATTTCTGGGAATCTGTGCTTTGTGCCCTGTTAGCTTCCCTCTTTGCTGCCATCCTCGGTGGGCTGTATTTGACGGGCGCGTTCCGCAGGAGAAGACCCAAAGAACCGCCGTTGGACAAAGGCCTCATCCCATGGCTAGGACACGGGATAAGTTTCAAGAAGAACCCTGCGGAGTTTTTGGAGAAGATGCAGAAGAAACACGGGGATATCTTCACCGTGTTGGTTGGAGGCAATTATTTAAATTTCATGATGGACCCTCACACCTACGGGACGGTCATAAAGGAGTCCAAAGACAAGTTGGATTTTGATACGTTTGCCTCCATGGTAGTTCATAACGTCTTTGGCTTCCGCCCGAGTGAATCCCATCATAAGGTTGTGCAACAAGTTAGCAAGAGGTATCTCAGAAATCGGAATCTGGAGGATCTGAACCAGGTGATGATGGAGAACTTGCAGGCAGTGTTGCTTCGGAACCAGGGCTCCAACGACGGAGAAAGACCATGGCAGCAGGACGGGGCCCTCCACTTCAGCTACAAGGCCATGTTTCAAGCTGCTTTCCTGACGTTGTTTGGAAGCGATTCCCCCAAAAGTGGAGATCGCAAAGGGACTTCTAAGGATAGCAGAGCACCGCAGTGTGCAGAATGGTTTGAGGATTTTCAGAAATTTGACCACTACCTTCCCCAGATGGTCATGGGGATGCTGGATCCTGAGAGCAAGAAGGAGACGGAGAGGCTGAGGAACTTTTTCTGGGATGTGCTGTCTGTAGAAAAGGTGATGGAGAAGGATGACATCAGCAACTGGGTGGCCGAGCAAGATCACCAGATGGATGAGACTGGGATGACCGAAAAGATGCGGACTCAGTTCCTTTTTCTCCTTTTCTGGGCATCACAAGCGAACACTGGGCCAGCGACCTTCTGGGTTTTTGTCCATCTCCTGACACATCCAGAGGCGATGAAGGCAGTGAAGGGAGAAGTCGACCGAGTCCTAAAGGAGACGAATCAGGAAGTCAAGCCAGGCAGTCCCATGCTCAAGATATCCTTTGAAACAGTCAAGACTCCTCTTTTGGACAGCGCGATACAGGAATGTCTACGCTTGAAAGTAAGTCCCTTTCTGTTCAGAAGCATAATGGAAGATATGGATCTTAAAATGGCGGACGGGAGAGACTACAGCCTCCGGAAAGGAGACCAGCTGATTCTCTTCCCCTTCATCGGCCTGCAGATGGATCCTGAAATCTACCCTGATCCTAAGACTTTCAAATACGATCGGTTCGTGAACCCAGATGGCACAAGGAAAGAATTCTACAAAAATGGGAAAAAGCTAAGGCATTACAACATGCCGTGGGGCGCTGGGCCTTCCATGTGCCCGGGACGCTTCTTTGCTGTTAGTGAAATGAAGTTGTTTGTGATTTTGATGGTCGCCTACTTTGAGATGGAACTGGTCAATAAGGAAGAGAAGGTACCGCCGGTAGATCCAAGCCGCTATGGGATTGGAGCCACACATCCTTCTCACGATATCCAGTTTCGGTATCGACTGAGAATCTAAGAGTAAAATAGTTTATTTATAACCAAGTTGTACATTAGCTCAGTTATTTATTCCGTTCAGTCCTGGGGAGAAAACTGTAAAATAGCAGAATGCATTCAGGGAGGTCTCTTGCGTAGGGGCAGTTAAACATGGTTGCACTTACCTGTAACTGATGTTCATCGAGTGTCTTCTGTGCTGGCACACATAGGCCTGCCTCAGGCCGTCCCATGTGGGACTGCACAGAAGACACGATGATAAACAAAAAGATACCAAGATTCAGAAGGGTCATGTTCTTCTGCCGCTGACCAGGAAGAATACGTGCTGCAGTGCTGAGACTTTTAATTGTCTTTCGTAGCTTGTGTAGGCAATTGTGGCCTTCATTGTATGTATGAAATGGAGTGTAAAGAATATAGCTGCTAGCAGCCAGCTTGGAGGAGGGGGGACGTGAAGCTCCTTAATAGCTCCGTACGTGTTACCATCTCCATCAACTTCAGACGTATGCATTGAAAGGGTCTGCTGCCTTTGAAATGGCTGTGCAGTAGAGACCCAACTTGCCGCAGTATGTCATCTTTGTTAAACGTTGCAGTAATAATGACTAATAACAGTTAGTTTTTACAGTCAATCATTCTTAGTCGTTATTTAGCATTTTTGTGTCCTCGTTCCGGTTGTTAGGTTTGCTGAACTGAATTTAAGAATCTCTTCCACGATCTCGGAAGAGAGGGCTGTATTTTGTTTCAGGTGTTCTGATGGAGATTTTAGGGAGCACTGGGGGGAGAGAGGGAGAAAGATTCTGTTTTCCTTTTGCAACAAGTGAGATGCCTTTTTAAGAGAAGCTTTTGCTCACTCGAAGCATGACGCTGTCTAAGGATTTCTCACTTTTTCTGTCGGCAAAACTGGAAGAGGTGGGGGAAGCGGTTTTCTTTTGTAATGAGTGAAACACGTTGATCGTTTGCACCTCTTCCCCCCCCCCTTTCGTACTAAAACTAGTACTAGTCAATGCTCCCTCTGAGCTGTGGAGTCCTGTGAGCAAAAGTTCTACTTGGTGAGCTACCGGCATTAAAGTTGTGAGCGGGCGATTTGGCTACTGCATGAATTAGTTTGCTCCAGAGCAATGTTCCCTCTGAGCTGTGGAGTCTCGTGAGCAAAAATTCTACTTTGTGAGCTACCGGCATTAAAGTTGTGAGCGGGCGATTGGACTCCTGCATGAATTAGTATGGTCTGGAGCCATCCCTTCCTGAGCAAAGACGATAAATGTGTGAGCCGGAGGCTAAAAAACTGTGACCTAGCTCACACTAACCCAGCTTAGAGGGAACACTGGTACTAGTTCTTGGGGGGGGGGACTGAAAGTACTTGTGGGAGGCATCTCAGTTTCTCCTCCCGCATGATTTCCTCCTTCCCTTCCTTGAAAGCCCCAATATCCACTGCCTTTTTCTTGTTTCCTTCCCTTCCCCCACCCCTGTCTCCAGCTTTCCCTCCATCATTCCCCCTGGTAGCCTCTCCTGGGGAAAAACTGGCTCAGTTGTGCCATGCCATCTGCCATACTGTTCTGGGCCCAGCTGCACAGCGCCAGCCAGACCGGCCCACTCGCACTCCCCCCCAACTGCAACAATTTGCGGGGGGCACCTCACTTTCCCCTGTATCCCCCCCCCAAATATTTCATCTTTCCCTCCTCCTGGCAGCCACAATATCCTCAGTTTTCCCTAGGATTGCCAAGTCTAATCTACTTACCGGCGGGGGAGCGTCGCCGGGCTCCGGGAGCTCTCCTCCGAAGCGTGTGCACGCGCCGCCAGCACGTCCCAGAAGTGACGTGCTACGTTGATCACGTTGGGGGGCGTGGCCCTGATCGTCGGAGGGAAAACCATAGAGTTTTCCCTCCGACGATCGGGGCCACGCCCCCAACGTGATTGACGTGGTTGCGTCACCTCCAGTGATGCAGCCACGCTGCGCTTCGGGGGGCGGAGTTCCCCCTGGGGCCCGATTCCGCGGCGGCGGAAATTGGGCCTCCAAAGCGGGGGTTTACCCGCCACCCGCCCCCACTTGGCAGCCCTAGTTTTCCCGGATTCCTTCTCTCCTGTAACAGCCTGCTTTTCATCTGTTCCCCACCTTCAGCTATGTTTATTATTTATTTACTTCATATACACTCCACCTTTCTCCAAAATGGGGACCCAAACCAGCTTGCATCATTCTCCTCTCCTCCGTGTTACCCTCAAAACAACCCAGTAAGGTAGGCTAGGCTGAGAGTGTGAAACTGCCTGAAACTGACCTTCCGCAGCACAGTCGGGGTTCAAAGCTGGGTGTTTCAGATCCTAATGTGAAACTCTAACCAATGCTCCACTCTGTCTATTGTGGGGTGGGCTACAAGTCACCTGGCAACTAGTTGCCTAGTTGTTCTTGCAAAACTTGATTCTGATTTGTCAAAGGCCTAAACAGCCCTGGAAAGCCCCCTGCCTTTTACTGACAGAAACCAAGGCTTGAAGGCTGGTAATATTGTGGTAGTTGCTTAGCAACATCCACTGAAGTCATTCATTTATTTTCTTTTTTTTACACTTTATTTTTAATTATGACAAACAAACATACACAGATCAGGGGTTCCATTTCATCACTAAAGTATCTAGTTAAGTATCTCATACAATGTCTAAATATCTATTTTCTCTATTCCACCTTATTTTTATGTATATTCTTTTGCAATTGATTTAAAATAAAGTTCCTGTTCCTTTCAAATTAGGTCATATGTCAGTCTAATTTATAAGATCTTGAAAAATTGTATCATCTCTCTTGTCCAAAGGGTTTTGACCATATCCAGAAAGTTTTAACCATTTTTGTAGGATTTCATCCTCTTCTTCATTCTCTGGTTTCTCCTCTTAACTTTTAAAGTCTTAATTCTGTGTCTTCTGGATGACAAAATAACTTCTGGAAGTAGCCCTCTATATTCAATTCTTTGGATGGTTTGAGGTTCCACATATTCATTATTTTTCACTCTCTGAAGGAAAATTTCATTTTCTGCTGTAAAGATTTCATCTCTTGTCATCCTTTCATATAATCTCACATTCAGGTTCTCCAAACATTTTGGTGTTTTTTGGGGGGTATACGTTGAGTTCTAGTTAAGTATACAAAAGAATACGTTGAGTATCTAGTTAAGTATCTCATACAATGTCTAAATATCTATTTTCTCTATTCCACCTTATTTTTATGTATATATTCTTTTGCAATTGATTTAAAATAAAGTTCCTGTTCCTTTCAAATTGGTCATATGTCAGTCTAATTTATAAGACCTTGAAAAATTGTATCGTCTCTCTTGTCCAAAGGGTTTTGACCATATCCAGAAAGTTTTAACCATTTTTGTAGGATTTCTGGAAGTAGCCCTCTATATTCAATTCTTTGGATGGTTTGAGGTTCCACATATTCTTTATTTTTCACTCTCTGAAGGAAAAATTTAGCTCTTGTCATCCTTTCATATAATCTCACATTCAGGTTCTCCAAACATTTTGTTTCTTTTTGTATACGTTGAGTTCGTTCTCTAGGCCGTATCATTTTGCTTGCAGACTTCACCTGTATTTTCTGTATTCATATCTCTTACAAAGATGTATGTGAAGGCATTCATTTCGTAAAGCTATAGGTGCCGCTTCTATCATTCTTTTTTTTAAAGATTTCAGATTTTTCTGCCAATCCGGAGCTTTTTTTCAAGTTTGTTGAGCAGTCTGTCTTGTTTGCCTGTGGATTTAAGCATACACAGATGTTGCAAATTAGATACGTCGATGGAAGTCTTTCGCTTGTAGTAACAGGATATTTAGACGTTTGAATCCCTCGAATATGCCAATTAATATTCATATACTAAGTTATAAAAGGGTTTTGTGTTGCTGAAGCAGCGAAATAGATTTAGATTTGATAGGAAATGAAGCGGTGCAGATATTTCCGTTTCCTCCCAAAGTTCTAGTTTCAAAACCAAACCAAACTGGAGAGACTGTTTTTGCCTCTACCGGACCGGTTCACATTTCCACAAACGTTACATCTATAGTCTGAAGTCCAGAAGCTGGGGGGGGAGAGGTTCTTCCTAGCCTTGTTAGAAAATCTATTTACTGATCTGTGAATGTGGCATTTCCTTTGTGTCGGACAACCTAAAAATCCTTCCTACTGTTAGTGAGGTGCTAATTATGTAAATGTGACGTTTCCTGGGAGAGTCCTCTTTGCCACCAGTCAATCCCCGGTGGGAATGGCCATTAACCTGCCTCCAGCAACTGGATGACCAAGTCATTCACTGGTGCCGCCTCTCAATTGTCTTCCTGTGCAATGAAATTGCTGAGCAGTCAGGTTAGAGCCGATCAAAGGAAGTCCTTCTTCACCCAAAGAGCAATTAACACATGGAATTCACAGCCACAGGAGGTGGTGGCGGCTACAAGCATGGACAGCTTCAAGAGGGAATTGGATAAACATGTGGAGCAGAGGTCCATCAGTGGCTCTTAGCCACAAGGTGTAGATGGGAACTCTCGGTCTGGGGCAAGCGATGCTCTGTCTCCTTGGTGCTTGGGTGTTAGATCCCCAAGCATTCAAAATAAATCCACGTTTAAAAGTAAAGCAAAATTTATTTCAAAGCGATGGTTCGATCAGGAACAAGGACATTGTTAGGAATAACTGCAATCACACTGGGACTACATAATAAAGGAACTTGAACCAGGTAAGGGCCAATTAGCCCCTTTCCCTCTGGCGGGAATAGAACAGCGAACGCGCGCCCAATTCCTTGGGAACATAACGGTCCTACATTATACACAAGTTCAGTTCTCAGGCAAGCTAACCATAACAGCGAAGCAATACCACGACTCCCACCTCCAGCTGCTCGACCTTGGCCAGTTTCTGCAAAGCTACACATGCAATACAATGAAGCAAGATGACACACAGGGGGGGGATGGGTGTAACAGCTTGCACAGGGAATACCATGTACACCAGACATAATGGCAGCTAGCTGACATTGGGGGGAGCAACAATGGGAGGGCTTCTAGTGTCCTGGCCCCACTGCTGGACCTCCTGAGGGCACCTGGTATGTTTGGCCACGGTGTGACAGAGTGTTGGACCGGATGGGCCATTGGCCTGATGTAGACTTTGTGAGGGTTCAGTAACGACACAACACACAGAGATTTCTTGAAGCTGATCAGGCTCTGTCTCTGTCTCTCTCTGTACCAAACTGTTTTCTGACAGTTTCACTGCAGCGTTTCATTAGACTCAAGCAGGCTCAGTGAAATTCGTTACAAGTACAGAGCAAGAGACTTTGTAAGCTAAAAAGCACAGTGTATTTCACAGAATGTTCTTTTCCCGTAGCTCAAGTTATCTTGCTTACATGTTGCAGATCTTGTGCTCTCAGTAATTCATGGTGCTCTTAATAATATAATAGGCTCATACAGACTCAGCAAAGATTGTGCCCCGCTTGCCAATCTCCCGTTGCCAATCTCCCTGTGAGAACAGAAGCCTTTCTGGGTGTGCCTCGCAGAGATTTTCCTCTTCCCACAGCCTGATCCAACACTGGCTTCTCCCCCCCCCCCCAGCTGGCTTGGAGAAGGCATTTGTCTGCAGTCTCCTATCTGCAGACAGCATTTGCTCCTGCACGCTTGTGAGGAAGAATGTGATGTGTATCTGCTGCTGCTTTCGGAGCCTCAGCTTCAGCGGGATGTACTAAAATGAAGGATGGGATTACCCACTGGGAACAATGGGAGAGGTAGGGTCGCCAGGTCCATCTTGGCAACCAACTAGGGATGGGGGGGGGGACTTAGCTGCAAGGAGGTCCATCTGATAGGCAGCAATGTGTCTACATCACTGCTCAAGCGGTCTGGAAGTGACGCCATCACTTCCGGGATGGTGGGGCGGCACTCTGGTATTTGGGCCAAAACTCTATGGTAGATTTGTCTCCTACCGTAGGGTTTTTGCCCAAATACCAGAGTGTCCCTCCGACGACCCAGATGTCATGATGTCAATTCC